AGGCTGGGCTACATTTTGGACTTTGTTCTTGAGAGGGCCCTGAGCCTCCCTAGTTGTGGCCTACAACTTCGCCAGGGTTGGGCAGGTGTGTGAGAAGGTGACCCTCATGTGTAGGGGAACCTGAACCCCACTCATGGCTGTTCACGGCATCTAGGCCTCAGTGAGGTGAGACAGTACAAGAAAGGGGGGGCTAGCTGGTGATCTACCTTCTTGGCATAATAATTTACAATAACCTTTGTGTTTGGGGGGGGGGAGAACAGTATGAAGTGTGTCTTCTGGGGCAGTAGAAAAGCAGAGACTGCTTTTTCTCAGCCAGCATGCATCCAAGTGATGAGGTAGGAAGCGCAGATCATTGAAGACCATTCTGCTATAAGCACAGAAAGGAGAATGGTGCCCAGACAGGTGTGGCCTTCATGGAGCCCAGAGGCCAGCAGGGGGAGGACAGAGTGAAAACAAGCGAGTAAGTACAAAAGAGTAATTACAAATTGTTATCATACCTGTAAAGTAGAAAGAGGGTGCTGAGAGAGAGGGTAAAGCAGGCACCCAGTCTGGTGCAAGGTTCTCAGGAAGGAGGCCTGAGAGGACATTTAGTTAGAGACCCAAGGAGAGACACAGGCAAGCTGGGGAGAGGGAAAGGAATACTGACAAGTGTTTGGAGCCTGAAGTGCTGTATCTGAGGACAGAAAGGAAGCTGCAGTGAGTTGAATGGTGGCCCCTTCCCCTCCAAGATAATCCTACTCAGAACCTTCGAATGTGACCTTAATTGGAAAAAGGGTCTTGGTTGATGTAATTAAGGATCTCTTGGGGTGCCTGGGTGGCTCAGTCAGTTGGGCATCCGACTTTGGCTCAGGTCATGATCTGGTTCATGAGTTCAAGCCCCACATCGGGCTCTGTGCTGACAGCTTGGAGCCTGGAGCCTGCTTAGGATTCTGTGTCTCCCTCTCAAAATAAATAAACATTAAAAACAAAACAAAACAAAACAAAACAAAACAAAACAAAACAAAACAAAAGGATCTCTTAATCATGAGATGAGGTAATCCTGAATTAGGGTAGGCCCTAAATCCAACTACAGGGGTCCTTAGGAGAGGAGAAGACACACCAAGAAGACCATGTGAAGACAGAGGCAGAGACCAGAGGCAAGTCTACAGGGGCAAAGAATGCCAAAGGGCACCGGAAGCCACCAGAAGGTCAGGGAGAGGCATGGGTGGGATGAATTCTTCAATTTCAAGAAGGAATCAATCCTGCCAATACCTTGATTTCAGACTTCTGGTTTCTAGAATGGGGAGAGGAGGATAAATTTCTGTTTAAGACACCAAGTTGTGGTCAGTTATTACAGCAGCCCCAGGAAATGAATACAGAGGCCATGGTCAAGAGTATGGATTTTATTCTAAGTGCAGAGGGAAATGATTGACAGGGCTGAAGCAGGAAGAAATATAACTGGATTTATGCTTAAGTAGATCTCTCTGGCTCTGTGTGGGAAATGAATCTGGGGGACAAGGAGCATGTGGGAAGCAGGGAGGCCAGTGCAAAAGGTCTGAAAGAACAATGGAGCCTCGTTGCTAGGTTCTAAACCAGCTGTGTGACCACGGGCAAGTTACCTAACCTTTCTACCACTCAATTTCTAATCAGTGGGGCCAAAAAGAATACCTATCCTCATAGGGCAGCATTTTTACATGATTCACTTTCTGTAAATGCATAGGAGGGAACGTGGCACACGGTGTGGGCTCACTGTATTTGCCATTCTTCCCCTGAGAGGACACGGAGGAGGAAGAGAGGGGACAAGAGGACCACTCACAGACTCAGGGGCTTTGGACTGTGGCAATGTCACAGAGGGTGGTGCTATGAACTGAGTGGGGAAGTGGGCTGGGAGGAGAGATCAGTCTGGGAAGGGTCAGGTCCAGGAGAAGACCAAGAGAAGTCAGCGAGGACTTTTTAATCTGTTTTTGCTTGTCACTATAAGCCTATAACTAGCTGAGTCCTTAGTCCAGAGTCAGAGCCTTGTCAAGGTGTGTGAAGGCACCATGTTGGAAAGGTGTCATTGCGAAGGGGCACAGGAGCCAGGACACCTGAGAACACCAATATTCTCTTTCTGGTCCTTCTACCATTGCCTGCCCCACAGGATGTTGTTGGATGACAGAGATCAGACATAAAGACTTCCCTCTCAGGGATGTGTCAGTGCCCATAGCCATCTGATGTGCTAAGACCTGCATACCCCTCAGTGGCCTGTTGGTGGTAGCCTGACAAATCCCCCCCATTCCTCAATGATAAAACACAGGAAGAGGGGCAAGGAGAGATAAAGTCCATGACCACCACTGGGTGGGGAGGAAGGGCACCTGATAAAGAAGAGGAATGGAAGATTTTTACAACTTTGGGATTTCTGGAACAGCCTCTCTCTTGAGGCCACTGGGTGTGGAGGGATAGCGTGAGGACCCAGCCCATGAAATCCCACAGCAGGCCAGGCCAGGGAAGCACGTTAACTTGGCTTTCTGAACTAGGGGTTCTTTAGGAGTGGGTGGGCAGAAAGCAGCTGGGATGAGAACAGTGGGTAGAGCCAAGGCATGGGGGATGCCTTAGCCAACATCATGCCAAGAAAACAAAGTCAGGGCCCTTAAAAGTTGTGCCCAATGCATCTGCTCAGCATCTATGACATCTTATTCTTGTAAGGGTTGTCCTTACCTGAATACAATCCAATTGTCAACCGTCTCTGGGCACAGGGTCCTTCTGGGCATTTAAAGGTTCTGATAGGCCCCTACTGTGACATTTCCTGGGTGACATCTGGTGTGGAATGCTGTGCCAAAGGAGACCAATCCTCGGCTAGAGTACAGGAGCTCCAGATGCAAACATGAAGCATCCATGGCAGCTATAAGTCTTACAACAAAGCCTTTCTGTGTAAATCACCCTCCTCTGAGCCTCAAACAGTGCTGTGAGTTAGGGGGCAGGGCACACAGTCTCATCCCATCCCCAATCTTTCATTAGTGCTAATATAGAGAAGGACCATGTATGTTATATGTATGCCCATGAATTATTCCAACTTCAGACAGAGACACAGATAATAGCCATCACCTGCTATAGGGAGTGGCCCTGGGACTTGAAGCCTTCTCTGTTTCACTTTGAAGTCCAGCTCTTCCCACCATACCGTGCCAGCTCCCTCTAATGGCAAAACTGATATCCAGAGGGAAGAAGGGGCTTCCTTGAGGACACACGACCAACAATTAAGCCAGGCCTAAATCTCCGCATCCTGATTCCAAATCCAGAGCTCTCTTCTCAGGGCCAGAGATGGAACTATTTTAACTTCCTCACAGAGCCATGAATAAATGGAAACCTCTATTAATTTCTCACCATTTAGCAAAACAGGCTTTCTAACCTTCTACACATCTGTGATGGTTACTTTTATGTGTTGATGTGACTGGCCACAGGGTGTGCAGATGAAAGGTTATTTCTGGGTATGTCTGTGAGGGTTTCTGGATGAGGCTGGCATGAGCGCCTGTGGATGCAGTAACGTAGATGGCCCTCCCTAATGGGCATCGTCCAATCCCTAAAGGTCTGAATAGAACAAAAGGCAGAAGAAGAAGGAATTCACACACGCACCCTGCGCCCCCTACCCCCACTAGGACCTCTCTTCTCATCTTCTCTTGCCCTCCCCTGGGATTTCACCATCAGCTCCTTTGGGTCTCAGGCCTTCAGACCTGACTGGATGACATCACCAGCTTTCCTGGGTCTCCAGCTTGCAGATGGCAGATCGTGGGACCCCCTCAGCCTCCATAATTATATGAGCCAAGTTCTCATCGAGATTCATACATATATTCATTGATTCTGTTTCTCTGGAGGATCCCAGTATAGCGTCTATGCTTTTAATTAAGAAGTCATTCCTAAAAGATTAAAGACACACCTATTATTTTTCAGCCACTCTGCTAAATACCGGAAGGAAAAGTTTTAACAAGACACAGTATGTGATGCCAATTCTTATAGCACTACTGGGGGAAAAACAGTGTTCTTGACGTTGACTAAACTGTGTGCATGTTTTCCTTTAATCGGGAAGTTCTTGACCTTGGCTGGCCATTGGGTTCACCTGGAGAGATTTAAAACATCCAGTTCCTGGGTCCCATCTCCAGAATTTGTGAATTAATTGGTCTGGGATACAGCCTGGGCTTCATGATTTTTAAACACAGGAGGGATTTGCTAATTATTCATCACCATGACTTAATTATGGATATAAAGCATTTCTTTTTCACTGATAATTTATAACTTGCTCTTTTTGAAGTGAATGTGATGAAGCTGATGGCACACAGGACATGAAACAGACTCTTTTAAGAAATACTAAAAATGGGAAATTTCAGAGGAGACGAGAAACACCTGTGGGCAAGGAATTTTTATAATTAAGCACAACATCTACCCCTGAGCTTTCTGGAGCAAATGTGCCAAGAACAAGAGGGGTCATCGTGTCTTCTAGGTCAATAAAAGGAAGCTTATAAGATAAAAAACAAGAACAAAACAAAACAAAACAACCCAAAAAACAATTTTCTCTCAAATCGTTCTAAAAGGACCCATGAAAAGTATCTGCATGTACAGGACAGCTGAACCCCCAGGTGCTTTGTGACTCATCAACAGCCAGGCAGCTCCCAGATCAGCTAAGAGCCAATTGAAAGGTGAGCCTCTCTTTCGAAGGTCCACAGGCCTCCCCGGAAGGTCCCCTAAGGAAGCTGCAGGCCAGGGGAGTGTGTCACGCAGCTGTCTCAGGAAAGCTTTCTAGCAAGGCCCACGTGAGGAGTAAGGAGCCATGGGACTCAGGGTATCTGTGCTCACAGAAAGAGCTCTGTTGAAGTTGAGGTGGCCTATGACACACTCAACACCCTGCGTCCGTGGCCCTTGGAGGGACTTGGTCTTACTTCCGCTCAAATTCTCGCAGGAGACAGACCCTCCTTTGCCTAAGGCAGGAAGAGCTGCTGCTGGGAAACCCCGATCAAGGCACCCTGGAGAATGCCTGCTCAAGGGGAACTTACGGGGGGTTGTCACATTTCCTCTGCCGGAAGCGGGCTCCCGTCCCACACGTCCGGCTGCACATGCTCCACGCGCCCCAGGGGCTCCAGTCTCCGTCCACGTGCTCCGGGATGGGTGTCTTGCTCACGCACTCCCCTGCACGGCACCACTGAAACACAGCAGGGGGGCCCCAGGGGCCCTCAGTGCCCAAGGATCAAACCTGCTCACTCACCCGGTAACTTGCGATTCCCACCACGTGAAAAAGCACCTTGCCGTCCCAAATTGCCTTCTGTAATTCACGTACGAGCAGACCGTTTTGGGGCATGCATGCTTCTTAGCTCTAACGACCTTCCTTCCTCACTCAACCTAACACCTGTACACCTGTGGCATTTGCAGAGTGCCCTAAAATCCCGCGTGACGTGTGCTCCGTTGGAGTTTTTTAAGTTCTCAGAAAAAGGATTAGTTCACATGGCTTATGGAGAGACCTGAGTTTCTGCCAACTTTCCTGATGGGGAGTGCATCTCTCTGGAAGGCTGAGTCTCCTGGCTTTGTGGTTTTGAACTTCAAAGTTGGGTTTGGTGCTTCGGAGATGACACCGTAAGTTCCACATGGGTGAACCTTCGCTCCGAGGATAAGGGAAAGCCAATCCTCTAAAATGGAAATTTCCCAACGTGTGTGGCACATCCAGGGCAGGACAGGTGATTTAGTGGTTCCCAACCATGGCATCTCATTCATTTCTTGCAGGAAGACTAAGAGAACTCTGCGGCTGCTGGCCCTGAACACCTCTCCTCTCCAACACCAATCTCTCCGGTTAATGAAGATCAGACCTACAGGCTTGCTCTCTTAAACTTGAGCTAGAAGTGAGCAACACAGTTCTCATAGAATTTATTTTATGATAGCCCTTTGTGTATGGCAAGCGATCCTGTTTTTCTACATATGGTTTATTGACGTGCAAGTTTTAAGTAAATTCACTTGTATGACAAAAAGAGTCAATTGAACAAAAATAGCAAGTGGTTCTTGTATCTTATCAGCAGAAAAAGGAGAGGTGATGTGGGTGCCCCTCTTTTCCCAGAGTGGGCTCCATGGGCATTTCTGGGGCAGCCCAGAGGGTGCTTCAGGTACTCCTGAGTAAAGCACAGACCACTGCCCTTCAGGAGAGACACCCAATGCTCAGGAGACGGGGGCTGGGGGAGGGCAGTGGGAGGCGGGGGTTACCTTGTCTGCCCCACACTCAGTGCCGTCCAGGGGAGGGTCCAGCTTGGTCTTGCAGGACGTATCTCCTTCCACCAGGCACCACAGTCCAGCGCACATCAGATGCTGCTGACAAGGGAAGGAAGGTAACTGCCTAGAGCACCACACACAGGTCACTACTGGGGGCGGAAGGTGGGGCTTGATGACTGGTTTGGATTGAGAATTTGAAACATGAAGGGAAGGAGGGTCATGAGTCTGGATGTGAAGAAAAAAAAAATATGTGCATCATTCAACTGGTTCATTTTAACTCAACAAAATTCTGTGCCTTTATTTCCCATGCTTGTCTCATGGGGATTCAGTTCAGCAATTCCTGCATTAGCTATTGAGGGCCTAGGAGTTGTCCCATGCAGGGCGCAGGCTGGGAGCCAGTAACAAACACATACTTTCCATTTAATGTAGGAAGGTATGAGGCAGACACCCATGGGTCAGACCGAGTGCATAGGAAAGGAATCTCTCCATCCTAACCTCACCAAGGAGGGCTTGCCGGAAAAGGCAGCTTCAGAGCTGAGGCTGGAGAACCCACTGTGCAGGCCCAGAATTGAGACCCCAAGGGGTTAAAGAAGGCTTTCCATTCTCCCTGTGGTCACCTGCTTTCTAGCTCAGCTGCATTATGCCTAATTTCTTACAGTGTTTCACCTAAAGAATTTCTTAAGTGCACAAATAATTGAAATAATTCTACTTAAGAATAGGCATTTAAAAACAGACTCCCATTTGTATTAATAGGAAACCTGCATGTAGACAGAGTGCTCAAGATGGGACTATTTATGAAAATAGCTGGATACATGGCCAGTGTCCTCCCTGGCTGCTTCAGTCTCCCTTGCAGGACTCGGAGAAGACAGCACATTCACCGGCTGCTGCTTCCCCAGTCTCTCTGCTGGAGGCCATCCCCTGACCACGGAGCAACCCTCGGTCATGGGGATGGAAGCTGGACACCCCATCTCCTTGGGTGCGATGGCTCTGAGGCCAGCGCCACACTTCTCTCTGAGGGTCCCGGTGGGATGGTCCCATTGTCCATGGAGTCGCCTGTCCATCAGTGTACTTTGGACTTGCCACCCCCCTCTCCCTTCCCTGCCCCCTCACGGTGCTTCCTGGGATCACTTCCCAGATAAACTACTTGCACCCAAATCCTCGCCTCGTGGTCTGAAAATTGAGAACAGATGTACAGAAGGCTCTTTTAAAGACACAGCACTTCTGGGATGCCAAGCCCAAGCACACGGGGAAAAGGCCTGAGCCGAAGTAGGGAGATATCACCCTCCCGGGCGTGGCCAGGGCACCTGCGGGTACATTTTGGGCAGGGTGAGGGTCAAGGGTCCTTGCTCAGGATAGTCACAGTGGGGCTCACAAAGGGTGTGCTGTGCTTCGTGTAGAGTTCTGCTGTTCCAAGTAATCTCAAACATCTGCATAGAATAGTGTGCACTGTGCTGTCTCAAGTCAAAAAATATTTAGAAGCTGAAGAGACAAAAGGAGAAACAGGGAAGGAAAACAGGGCTGGAGGGGCTTTGACAAAGAGCTCACAGAGCACAAGCTCTTGCTCATTTTTTCAAGTGTGTCAAAGCCACTCCGTGCCCTTAAAGAAATTGATGATTCAAGGGGAATAGTGTGCCCATGGGTTCAGGAAAACCCCTGTGTTCCCATTATTGTTCAATTCTCAGCGGAATGGTAAAAAGATGAGAACTCTGAGCACAACCCCAGCTGGTCCCATAAAGACAGACTGCACCTCATTAAATGTTTGATTCCATGCACCTTGACCTCGGAGCTCTTCGAGAGTGTGGTGTCAGCACGTGGACATGTGTTCATGAGAACAAGGCTGACCCGGCAGGTAATTTATGGGTAGGAGTGCTTGGGATTAGGAGACACACCTGTCCCATCAAGAGGGAGAGGAGGAAGGCGGTGTGAACGGTTTGTTATGCGCTTTATAGACCATGCATTCCCATAAAACTTTTCTAGCCATCAAAGAAAAGGAGATGAGTCTGGCAAAGACTTTCAAGAACACAAAAAGTAGTAACCATAAAGGCCAAAAGAAATGAATTATATTATGTTAAAATGAAGAGCTTCTGTGTATCAAGAGACAACCATAAGAAAGTGAGAGAGGATATTTGCAATAAAAGGGAGATACTTATAATGCATGGAGCCAACAAAGGATTTGTATCAAGAATATCTGTAAAAACACGAAAGCTCCCACAGACAATTAAGAAAATAGCCCAGTAGAAAAATGGGCAAAAAACTTGAACAGACACTTTACAAACAAGGGCATTTAAACTTAAGGATGGGGTGACTAGCTGTCTCAATTGGTGGAGCGTGTGACTCTTGATGTTGGGGTTGTGAATTTGAGCCCTACGTTGGGTGTAGAGATCACTTAAAAAACAAAACAAAACATAAGGATGGCCAATAAACATATGAGCAGGTGCTTAATTTCATCAGCCACTACCACTTGGTACCTCTACACATGCACCAGAATGGCTAGAATGACAGAGACAGAGGATACAAAGTGTTGGCAAGGATGTGGTATGATATGAATGCTCTAAAACTGACGCTGAGCTTCTAACTTGGTTCAACAACTCTGGAAAACTCTTTGGCAGTACTTACTAACACTGAAGACATGCACATTCTAACACTCAGCAATTCCACTCTGACGTATGCATCGGACAGAAATGTATGTATCCCATTTTTATGAGGTTTAAAAACAAATAAGATAAAATTATCGTTTTCTGTGAGTCAGGATACTGGAAACCTTTCTGTGTTTAGTTTAAAAACAAAGACAAGGGAGTTGAGTGGAAAAGGCAACTTTAGAGCTGCAGCCTCTGATCCTAGCTCAGCCACCAGCACTGCCATGTGTGCCCAAGCTAAGCAATCACCCTTCAGTGATTCCTTGTGAGTACAGGACAAATGGTATGGACTGCATTAATGCTTGTCACTGTGGTGCCTGTGAGATAGCTGGTATTCATGTCATGCTTTCCAAATGACCTAGTGCTCTGCCATCTGTAGGACAAAGTCCTCTAACATCTGTCATCCTGAGGACAGCTGTGGAAGGCAGGTAGGGCAGGGCTTTCTCTATTTTTTTCCTTCTTCCCAAAGAACAGGCACATGTTTGTGGAGGTCAAGGGCCTGAGTTGGTCAGAAGCACCAGACTGGGGAGTTCATTTATCAAGGTTCATATCCTGGTTCTTGACCTATGTAGTGGATCCACACGTGTGTTCACTTTCTAAAAAAGAATCAAGCTCTAAATGTATGACCTGTGCATTTTTTATGCATGCTTAGTATACTATTTATGGTAAAACCACTTACTGAATGAGAGAAGACAAGAGAGAAATGCATGCTCTGATAAGGGAAGATTCTCTGGACCAACCTATCACAAGGTAGAAGTGGGAAAATCAGGGCTTCACAAGGAAAGTACAAGGATAGACCACGTGTGGGGGGAGCCATTCCTCAGAGCAGGAGAAAGACCGCATGGTGGATAGTCTTGCAACTGCTGGTCTCTTTAGGTCAGGACACACACACTGGTCTCATAAGGAGAATGCCTGCTAGCCTGGAAATAGCCCTGACACTCTCCAAAATGAACATCCTATCTATAGCTGGTCCAGGAATAACTCAGAGGTGAACAATACATAGAAAGAATCATCACAGGATCTGTACTAATTAGTACAAAAAGGGAGAAGTTACAGGAAGGAGAAAGCATGTGAAGAATATTCACTCACTGGATAAAATGATCATAAAATGGCTAAAAATGTGCAAGCACATGTGCATTATTATTTTTTAAGAACAAAGTAATTGCATTTTTTTGGTTTTGTTTCTTGTTTTTTAAGTTTATTTATTTATTTTGAAAGAGAGAGAGCAAGTAGGGGAGGGGCAGAGGGAGAGGGAGAGGGAGAGAGAATTCCAAGTAGGCTCCACACTGTCAGCACAGAGCCTGACACAGGGTTCAAACCCATGAACTGTGAAATCATGACCTGAGCTGAAATCCAGAGTTTGACGCTCAACTGACCAAGCCATGCAGGCACCCCTGGTTTTTCACTTTTTGCACTTGCAAAAGGAAAATACATAAGAACTCAGGGAAATGATGGTCAGGTCAAATGAGATAAAATATTAACCATCACAGCTGGCTGGTCTCTCCTAAAGGAGAGAACCAAAGTAATGTAACAGAAAAGGTATTTGAATATAAATTCAAGGGGTGCCTGGGTGGCTCAGTTGGTTAAGAATCTGACTTCAGCTTAGGTCATGATCTCGCGGTTTGTGAGTTCAAGCCCCGTGTAGGGCTCTGTGCTAACAGTGTGGAGCCTGCTTGGGCTTCTTTGTCTCCGTCTCTCTCTGCCCCTCCCTTGCTCATGCTGTCTCTCTCTCTCTCAAAAAATAAATAAACATTAAAAAATGTATATAAATTCAAGACCCTATCCTGAAATGAAAGAATACCTCAGTCTCAGATTGAAAAGCAAAGCCTTGTTCCAGGGAAAATGGCGAAGAATCATGAACACAGAGGCATGTCCTGATAAAAGTTACTGGATTTCAGAGATAAAGCAAAAAATATTTTAGGCAGCCAGGCAAAAAGACCAAGTCACTGATAATGGGAAAAGGTATCAGGCTACATGCAGATTTCTCCACGGCAGCCCTCAATGCTGGAAGGCAATGGAACAATGCTCAGAAGGACACAAGGAAAGAAAATGTAACCCAAGCAACTTCTAGCAACTGAAGTGTTGCCCAAATATTTAGGTAACGGAAAGTTATTTTCAAACCTATAAAGAGCTGGATCTTTTTTGGGAGACAATACTAGAGGATGAAATTCAGCGAGCAGAGAAATGAGGGGAAAACCCAAGGATTAGAAGTGAACATGGATCAAAGACATTGACTAAAACGTGGGGACTGAAGTTAGACAACAGAACGCAGAGGCTATAAGCTAAGATGAGGCAGAAATAATATAGGTATAAGAACAGGCTAGAAAAGAAGGTTTTATGAGATTGTCCATATACATCAATTTCTTTATCGTTTTTGGCTGGGGGAGTAACAAAACATAACAGATAAATATAGTAACTGAGATATAAGAGCTTTTAAAGGTAAAATGTTAACCACTAAGAAAA